GATTTTTAGATGTTTAAGTTTTGACACTTACAGGCATTGTGCAAACTCTAAACTTTTGTATGTTCATGCTTATGTCAAATAAGAATGTTTTGCAAAGAGTTGCGGTGATTGGAGCTTGGGGACAAAAAAAACCCAAATAAGGCCCACCCAGCCCTTAATGCGGGAGCAACAAGTTGATAAAAAAATTTCTTTAGTATTTTTATCTAAGTTTATATTCATCAAAAAATTTCAAATTTCATGCAATAATCTCTTATTTTTTGAAAATTATGACCATATAAAGTTTTAACCCCCCTCAATTTAAGGTGGCTGTAAACTTTGTAGGGTCATAAAAACTAAACACTAAGAGGTTATTGCATGAAACTTGAAATTTGTTGATAAATATAAACTTAGATAAAAATATTAAAGAAATTATTTTATAAACTTGTTGCTCCTACATTAAGGGCTGGGTGGGCCCAAAAATTGGGGGCTTTTATCATACTCAAAACGCTTTTTTTGTGTGTATTGCCTATTGAGTATTACACTCACATCATATTCATTATGCAACTCAATACATGCATTTTTTTAAGTATAATACTCAGTACACAACTTATCATACCTATTTTTGTTAAGTAGAATACTCAATAAGCAACTCATCTTACATATTATTTTTGATTATTTTGTGTTAAAATACCCAATTTTTTTGAGTGCAGAATAGAATTTTGTTTTTCAATAATATGATGTTTTACTTAAATGCATTTAAATCATCAAACAAAATAAGAAAAGAAAAGTAAAAATTCATTATAGGTTTCAAAAATGTAATTGCATATCATAAACAAAACAATAATTAAGAAAATTATTTACAAACGAATAAAGAAAATATTTTTATTCAGCCAGTTCATTGAGTATGGCTAAGTTACTTTTTAGAAAAAGTACGATTTCATCTGTCATGTTGCCGGCTCTTTTTCTATTAACTACACCGCATATGTTAAAAAAGCGTTCAACATATGCGGAGGATGTCGGTATAGTGTAAAACATAAGACACAAATTATGAAGATATGGCAATTATTTTCTATATCAAACCAAAATGCACTGAGTTTTGTTGGTGAAAGCATAGTTTCTTAGAACATTTATGAATGTATCGCTTTCTTTGTCAGCTATGTGTTCTGTTTGTCATGCTGAGTTCTGTTTTGTTGTATTCTATATGATCCAATTCTATGCTTTGGTAAAACTGACCAAAGGCTTTATTGTCAGGCACACTTTTTTAAGTGAAACTATTTTTAGCATTTACAGCCAAATCATTTTAATCACTTTTTTTTTTTTTTTTGTTAAATTCAATCACCAAGTTTACTTATGAGCTTAGGCCTAAATTGACTGTGGCCTTGGCTATGGGTCTTTCATACCAGAGGTAAAGTTTAGAAACATAAACTGCAGCAGCTGCATAAACATCAGAGTTAAACTCATGATCAAAAAGCTTTTTTACATTTTTTATCAACAGTTCGCAAAACTTTTTCTTTTTTTCGTCTTTTTTAGCCATTTCTTCATATTGCATTTCTAACAAATAAAAACTTGATACCAAATCACCGATATGTGTGTGATTTCTCTGATTCAAAAGTGTAAATCTATATGCTGGGAGCATCATTGATAAATAGAATTCAATCTTTGCTTGAGTAACTGGATATTTTACTGTTTCAAAACAATTTTTTTGATATGATTTATAAAAACAAATCAACATTAAAAAGCTTGACGATGAGTTAAACTTTCATTTCTAAATCTTTGTTTTTTTGTTGTTGAAATATTCAAGCAATTTTAATTGTCTGATGAGTCTTTTTAGCAAATGAACAAAGCAATGACAAAACAGTTTTCAATCGTTTGCATGATCTCAGAGTAATATGTATAGAAATATTAAATTGTGGTTTGGGCATGCATATCGAGGGACTTTTTTGCTACCGAGTTCAAACTCTAATTGATCGATAATACTATGATCCCCAAATTCATAATTTTTAGCATCATTAACTCCGATAGCATCAACTTCATCGTCAATCTCATTAGATAATTTGCTTAACCTAATAACATTTTGAATTGGATTTATTTTCTTCAGTAAACAATTCGTTTATTTCAGGATCAATTTTATTTTCAGGTGAATCTTTCAATTCCTGGTCATTCTCATCGCTATCATCATTTTCAAACAAGTCTTCCCAAAAATCTTCTTCAATCCAATTACCGATTTCCAAGCCAGAATTTAGCATTTAAGGAAAAGCTCTAAGAAAAGCTTTACCACTATCGCTCACATAGCCATCAACTTTAGATTTATCGAAATCATATTGATTTAATATTTGTTCTAAAATTAATATAAAATTTTCAGCATTATGTGGGCCATTCATTCAAGAATTATTAGCTTTTTACTGAAATCGGTAAAAGTAACCTGGCAGGCAAAGGCAAAGGCAAAGATGCAAGTTACCCAGCTCTTGGGTTGTCATATTGGAAGATATAACATACTTAGTTAGATCCATGATATCGTCATTTAAGCACAAATCATCTTCGTTATCAAGACTTACACCATCATAAGCCTTTTTCCAAGCCATAAAATTTTCTTTGCCGTTACATTGTGTTAAATTAAAATGCTTTAAAAAATTACAACTTTTACCAAGTCGTTTATGCAATACCTTATGACAATAAATCCAAGTAAACTGTAGTTTTTCTTTCTTTCTAGATTAGAATCGATTTCTGTTCGGCAATGAAAAAAGTTCAAAACTGAACCGTAAGTTTTTTCAGTGTCTTGAAAATTTTACGCGGAAACTTGTTATTTTTTAAGTTGTGGCAAATTTCATCAATCTCTTGACCATATAGTTTAAAACGTAAAGTTGTTGATAAAGGATTGCTTAAGCTTTTGCTGCACAAGGGTTGGTCTTGATTTTTTGAAATCAACAAATCACTTAAGACGCTATCACATCTATTAGAGATTATTTGTTTATTTACAGGCAGATTTTCTTTATCTTCTTCATTATATATCTTTTCTTTTTTTTTTTTGGTTCTAGAACTATTTACAGTCAAGTTTAAACCTTTTTTTCTTTTGGCGCATCTTTCACACATTTTAAGCAAAAAATCTAAAATAAAACTTCATATTAAACATTTAAACAATATCATTAAAGAAAAAATTAGCTTAAACTATCTTGTATATATAAATTGAAACTAAGATTCAAATGGTTTAATTTAATTATTAACCTAAAATATAAATCTAAATTATATTATTTGTTTATCATAAATAGAAAAACAATTATTTATATCTAATTATCATTTTTTTTTTCCTAATTATTAAAGCTAATATAAATCTATAGTCTTGTAAAAATAACAAAACAAAATTAACAAATATCTTTTTAAAATAAAATCATGTAATTTTACGCAAATTTACAAAATGTAATTTAATTTAAACACATCAAGCCATTGTTTCAAATACGAAGCTTTACATGCTTACTAACAGCTTGAAAAACATCATTCAAAATAAAATACTTTAAAGTCAAATTTCTATTTACATTACTACACTCAAAAAACTTGTGTATTTTTATGCAAAATACTCAAAAGCATTGTGTAAGGTGAGTTGCGTATTGAGTATTTGAGTATTCTATTTAACAAATATAGTTACGATAAGATGCGTACTGAGTATTATACTCAAAAAAATGTGTATGTTGAGTTGCCTAATGAGTATGATGTAAGTATAACACTCAATACACAATAAAAACACGTTCTGACGTATGATACACATATATATATATATATATATATATATATATATATATATATATATATATATATATATATATATATATATATGTAAACAATTTTAAAATGTATTTACGTATATACGTAAACAATTTTAAAATATTCTACAAAATAGAATGCTCAATGTTCTTAAAAGAACAGAGCAATTATAATTTAGTAAAAAATCACTTAACAAATCTTTTTTTCATTAAACACTGTGTTTCATCAATAAAAACTCATCAGAAATGTATATATATATATTTCTGATGAGATGTAAATATATATTTCTGAAGAGTCTTTATCGATGAAACACTGTGTTAAATGAAAAAAAATTTTGTTAAGTGATTTTCTACTAAATTATATATATATATATATATATATATATATATATATATATATATATATATATATATATATATATACAGGGTTTTAACCAGGAATAAATTTGTTACAGCGTTTTGACGAAATTGAGATTTTGCCAAATACTTTTAAAGTCTCAGCAAAAACAATCACAAATATTTAATTACAAAAGAATATTGATCACAAGTGATTGCACGCAAATGCTTACGATCGCAATAAACTATATAAACATATCACACAATAAAATATATTTCAAATACCAAATTTAGATTCTTTCAATAACTTTTGCTATATTAATTTTAATGATTTTTAACAATATTTAAACTTTAACTACAACACAATACTTTAAAATACTTTCAAAATAAAAATAGTTTTTAGGCTCCTGTAACAAATAAGATCTTTATAATTACAACACTTAAAAGCAAAGGGTTTTGAAGTATTTTTTAATTAATTTTTAATATTTGTCAATACTTTGCTGTTGTAAAAAGAGCATCAATTTTTTAAATAAAATAAGCATTCAATTTAATTGAAACTAATGGCGTATATATCGACATGTGCTTTACCTGAAAGTAGAAAATTGAATGTTATCGATAGTTTACAATATTACTTTTATTTAAGCAAATTACTTCTAGTCTACGCTTAACCCTTCCTTTTTAAAATTATTTATTTTATCTAATTATTTTTAGTCTACAGTATGTTTGTATATGTGTGTATGTATTTATGTATGTATTTATGTATGTATGTTTGTATGTATGTATGTATGTATGTATGTATGTATGTATGTATGTATGTATGTATGTATGTATGTATGTATGTATGTATGTATGTATGTATGTATGTATGTATGTATGTATATACGAACGTATGTATGTACGTATTAATGTATGCGTATACTATTTAAATACCTGTATAACTTTTGAATTTCACTCTTGACATTAACAACACTATTTGGAGAAGTTGCAGGGGTAGTCTTCTTCATGGTCTTCAAACAACACATTTATGACTTTTTTAATTAAATTTTCTTCTAAAAGCATATCTATTTATGCTGGGATAAAATATTAACGGAACTTTTAGTTGCCTTATAGACGTTCTGATATTCGAAAAACAATAAAACGGCTTCTCTTATCGACCAATAAAAATTTCACTGCGCCATTTTAAAAACAAGAGTGACATATAGCTGAGTAAAAAAATGAATCATATAAATCGCGTACCGTTAAAATGTATCTATTTTATACTCCACCATGGAGGAATAAAACAGCATTCTAATTGTGATTATTTTATTCAACTTTTTATGAAATATTTAGGCATTTTTACAATTTAGGTCACCAAAAATGTAACCTTTGAAAACTGTCTGTTTAAAATGATCTTGGAAATTTTTTTTATAGTTGGCAATTTCCAATAAAATGTTGATTTAAAACTTGATGCAAACTTTGGTTCTAGCATTTTTTACAACGGAATCTGTTCCAAGATTTTTGAAGTGAGTGAGAGCTAAAGTTAACCAAAAAGAGATTTTGGTGTTTGATATTGACAAAAGGACCCTTTAAATTGTTGAACATTTTGAAGTTGTATGCTTACTCATTAACTAAAAAAAAAAAAAATCGTTGGCACCCTACTTTTAAATTTAAATATTCATATATATTTTAATAAACATTAATACAAGTACCCTTACATTCAAGAAGTTTGAAATTCGATGAATAATTAAAAGAAAACTAAGTTTGAAAAAATAACTAATGGTAATAGTTAATAAAACAACCAGTTTGTTTTGTTAACTATGAGCATTGTTTCAGTTTTTTTTTTTTTTTGCGCATTTTACATATTGCCATGGTATGCATGTTTGACAAAGAAAACCGTACTTTTTAAAGTTTCGCACTGATACCAATGATTTGTTGAAATTTCGCTCAAAAATTTACTTTTTACACTTGGTTTGCTACTGTTGTTGGAGACGCTGTTGTAGTTTAATCATCAATAAAGTTAAGCTTATAAGCGTAACTAGGTTGTTTCCTTGTTGTTTTTTTGTTGTCAGCACCTTTCAATCTTCGCTCTTCAACTTCTTTTTAATTTTTTTTTTTTTGAATAGTTGGTGTTACTACAATAATAAATGTTGATTGACGTTGGAATTGACTTTGAAGCTGATGCTATACATTATTTGCTGTTGTTAGTTGTTACTGGTGTCAGGACCGTCACGAAGAGATTTTAAAGGGGTGACGAGTCTGTTTTTTGCCGACTAAAGCCCAAAAAAAATTTTTGCCCACTAACTTATCTAAAAACAAAAAAAAAAGTTCCTCGTTTTCAGACATTTGCTGACTGCCAACTATAAATCCAATTTTGCCGACTCCAGTGTCCCATTTGCCGACTAATAAAATTTGTAAGGGGGTTAGATACCCCTTTACCCCCCCCCCCCCCCCCCGGAACGGCCCTGATTGGTTTAAATTTAGAAGGCAGTAGCTAATAGGGTGTAGTTACTGGCACTAATATGGTGTAGCTATTGGTGGTAGGGCTTGGAGCAAAAGCGGATCCAGACCATGTCGTAAGGAGGGAGGGCGATTTAATTTGTTTTGATTTGGTGATGCAGACGATTTAGTAGAGAGGGGGGGGGGGGTGATTTGTAAGCAAACAATCACACAATTTTGAATTTGCACCACATAATTTTTTTAAAATTGTAATTTTATTTAGACAGTCTAACTATATTATTTCCGTTTTCAGACAACTTGCTGTGTTTAATATACAAACTTACAAAAATAAAAAATTTCAAAACTTTTTTTTTGCCTCCACCCCCTCCCCCCGCCCCCACTATGGATCCGCTCTTGGTTTAGAGAATGTATAAATTTAATGTAATCTAATGAAATTATATACTGAAGTTAGATCTCCAAGTTAAAGAAGAAAAAAAAAATTATTAAATTCCTTTTTATTAATCAATTTTGTCTTAATGACACTAAGCATTCCTTTAATTTTAAAATGAACAAGTTCATTTTGAAAGAATAACAAAGTTCTCTTTGTTTGCTTTTTTACATGCATTTGCAATCTGTAACACTTCAGATATCAATTACTTGTATTGTTTTGTCTCATTTGAGTAAATAAAAATTTCAATACTACTTTTGCAGTGAGTAAAGTTGTTGTGGTTTTACTCAGTTTTTTTATTGCCAATTCCGCTTGCTTTTTAAATTTAATTTAGGAAGATAAAAAAGTCCTGCTCGTTATCAAATCTTCACGTCTTATTTTTTCCAGTACGTTTTTTATGCAAACTTTAAACTGCACAAATCTTTCCATCATAATATAAGGGAGTTCTACAGTTTAATATGAGTGAAAAATTATTTAGCGATAGTATTTCATTCATTAAAGATAAATCTGTTGACGAGTTCGAAACATCAATAAGTCTAAATCTAAATTTTACCGTAAACAGTTTGTTTACAATAAAGATTCTATATCTCATCTATTAATGAATATAACATGTGGTGTTCCACAAGGATCCATACTTGGTCCTCTTATTTTTTTAATATACATAAATGATCTTCATAAATCATCAAATTTAACAACAATAAATTTTGCAGATGACACAAATTTGTTTTTGTCTCATAAAGATATTAATATACTTTTTACAAATATGACAAATGAATTAAAAAAAGTTTCTGTTTGGTTTAAACAAAATAGATTGTCCCCAAAATATAGAAAAAACTAAATGGACACTTTTTTATCCACCTTTAAAATACCAGAAACTGCCCCATATCATGCCAGACCTTCTAATTGATAATATAATAATAAAAAGAGAAAAAGTTACTAAATTTCTTGGAGTATATATTGATGAAAACCTATCTTGGAGAAATCATATTGATAATACCTCCAACAAAATTGCTAAATGCATCGGAATTCTCTATAAAGCAAGAAATATATTAAGTAAACACCAGTTAACACAATTATATTATTCATTTATACATTGTCATATAAACTAAGCGAATATTATACGGGGAAGCACTCACAGAACAAAGCTAAAATCTCTTTACCTTCATCAGAAACACGCAACTCGCGTAATAAATTTTAAAAATCGGTTTTTTCACACGAAACAACTTTTTAAAGAAATGAATATTTTAAATGTATATCAACTAAATGTCTTTAATATTTTATGTTTCATGTTTAAATGTAGAGAAAATTTGTCGCCAAATGTATTACAAAATTTTTATTGTATGAAACCTAAAAACAAATATAATTTTCGAATTAATAACAGTCTTATTGCCCCTTTTTGTCGTAAAAGCAAAGACCAGTTTTTTGTTTCTTACCGAGGTCCTTATCTCTGGAACAAAATAGTCTTACCAAATTTTGATTTTTCAACCCAAATGACTTTTGCTTCATTCAAACAGAAACTTAAAAAAATTATATTTTTAATTAAAAATATCTTGATTTATTTTTAATTGCCTTTTTTTTTTGTTTTGTTTTTGTTGTTGTTTTATTTTGTATATTATTTGGTTTAAAATTTTATCTTGACTTTTTAACATTTTATCTTGGTTTTTAAATATTTTTGCATAGAGGTGTATTATTATTTCACTACAGACATTGTATTTTTATTAAAAGTTAACCATATATTGTAAAGGGCTTCATGACAAGATCCTCATGATCTTCTAGAAGTCCTGTCGTTACTAATGTAAAAAATTGTAAAATATATTTAGTTATTGTAATATTAAACGGCAAAAATTTAAAAAAAAAAAAAAAAAAAAAATTTATTATTTAATTAGTTCAAATCTACAGTTATATTGAACTTAGATCTCAGGGCCAACGACACCGGGGGCCAGGGGGGACATAGAGAAATATTGGTATAGAAGACATTTTTCACAAATTAATGATTGTGTGCCCCCACTTCAAAACCCGTGTCGTCGGCCCTGGATCTTCTTTTCTTTTATGACTATTTCTTTTCCAATCCTTTTTCTTTTTTTGCAAGGCAATTAGAATATTTTTACTTACAGATTTTAAACTGAATACATTTTATCTGTTTTTTATAAAATAATCAGCACATACATGTGATCTGATTGTAACAGAATAATGTAAAAATTTAGAATATTTAGAAAGTAATACAAGAGTTGACATTACTTAACATTACGAAAACAAATTTGTTTTTGTTGTTGATTAGAGATTCTTCAAAAATCGTATATTTGAAAAGTAGACAAAATAAGTTAGTGTAACAGGTTTTTGCTGTTTTGCTGTAATTTAGTTATTACAAATATTATAAGACTTAAATATTGTTTAATAATTCTGTCAATCTGTAATATATTATTAATGGGTAAAAACTTATGGAAATAAATATTTTCAATAAAATCACAATATTGTTATCTTCAATGTCAATTGTCAACTTGTCAAAACAAAAAATTTATGGTAATGATTTATTCCCATTAGAAAAATCAAATTATTTATCAATTTAAAAATATATAATTAACAATCAGAGCTGATTGTTAACTATTTATTTTGTAACAACTACACAAATCATGAAGGCGGTGAATGTTTACGGACAGCTAATTACAGTTGATTTCAAACAACTTTTTTTATATTTTTCTTTTCAATTCCTAATAAATTGACAAATTTCCTTTTAGAGTTTCTTTTTTAAAAGAAAAAAATAATTTTTGATTTTAGGAAAACTAAAAAAAAAAATCGGTATACCGATTACTACTGATTTTCGAGCCCTAGTTGGTGGAGGTACTGACATAGAACCTGGTGGTTAAGATGAGATGACATAAGTGATAAAAAAGACTATAAATATAATATAGAGTCTCTAAAGATATATCTTTTTTACACTAAGATAATAATTAATAAAATTTGAAATCTTCCGGCAAATATACATATAAGTAAAAAAAAATATTGTAAGTTAATCGCTTTGCGATTTGTGGAAGGTTTTGCGATTTGTGCAGGCGAGAAAAATAAAGTTTTCTTTCCCAGTTTCCAACTATTTTAAACTTAGCAATCTTCAATAATTCTTTAACTTATTAAAAACACACCACTTAAATGTTTTAAATTACCTTGATTTTTTTGTAAAACATCATTATTTAACATAATTATGAACTTAAGCAAGTTTGGAGTTTGTTTCATGACTGTGTTTGTACAATCTAAAACAATACTTTTATTGTTCACTTGATAATAAACAAAGCAAAAACAGTGATTAAAACTAATCCTCACGCAAGTGTTACGCCTTTTTAAAACAAATAATTGATCTTAAAATAAATGATTATTTACACTAGATTATAGGCCGGGTGAATAAAAATGAGCAATTGCTTTTACTAAGTAATTGGTCAGCTTAACATGAATAAAAACTTTTTAATTTTTTTATTCATGTTAAGCAATTTTCCTTAATTTTTTGTTCACGTAAAGCTGAGTAATTACTGAGTAAATTGCTTAACTTTACGTGAGTAAAATTTTAAGCAAAACACCTAAAGTTTTTATTCGCGTAAAGCTGAGCAATTACTGAGTAAAAGCAATTGCTCATTTTAATTCACCCGGCCTTATGTCTGCCAATGTCCTGGTTTTTCCGTAGAAGAACACAATGGAGTTTTAGTTTCAATTAGTTTTGCGCTGCACTCTAAAATTATCTTTAATAATCTTTTGGCATATAAAAACTTTTAATTTAAATTTTTTCCCCCCGGCTAAGGCGAGATGAAAAATAAGCCGATACAGGCTATAACAGCGACAAATACGTTGCAATGGAGTTCAAAATCAAACAATAAGTTTAGATCTAGTTTAATGTAATGCAATTATATGTTTTTATATATTGCATTTATTTATTTTTTTAAAGGTAATATTTGAAATTGTAAACATAAGGACGCAATCTTAGGTTTTTATTTTTCTATAATTTTTTTGAGGTTCTTATCTAAGGTAAGGAACTTTGTTTAGCTCCAACCACCATTACTTTTTTGCAAAATATCTTGACGCAAAAATAAATTTACAAAACATAAATCCAAAACAACAAAAATTTTAGATTTATGAGCTATATATAAAAATTTAGGTTTTATTTACAACCAGGTGCAATATGAATTTTTATAACTTATAATTTCGCTTGAAATTTAAAACTTGCACAAAATTCAGAAATTTATATTTATACAGTTGAGTACATAAGGTTGAAAGAAGACAGATCTCTTTGCCAATAGAGAGCCACGCGTAAGTAGATCAGGCAATTTAACCTGGTAAACATTGGATAATATAAAAACTAGTTATCATGCAGCCGCACAATTAAGATTTCTGAAAAGGGGTTTCCAATTTTATAAACCCTTGGTTTTTACTTTGTTAAATCCAAAGCGTGCATATTTATATATTATATATTTACTTTTTTGGCATAAAGTCATTTTCATATTCATTTCAAATTCCAACACTTTTTCTTCCTGTCGAACTTAACACAACACACTAAATAACGATTAGTAGTGTATAAAGCAATAACAAGAAAATTTGATTTTTTTAACAACTTAAAAAGGGTTTTCCGGGTACCATGGAAACACACCTAATTGCGCTACTGAACAATCCTTATACCATGTTTACTAGTTGAAAATGCCAAATCTATTTACATGTCGCTCTCTACGGGTAAAAAAAAAATATTTTTTTAACCTCATGGACTTGAGTAAAAATAAACTTATGTTTTATATAAATTCTAAATTTTAAGTAAACTTGTTGTTAAACTTTAAAAAAAAAACTGATATTAAAACTGTATATTTATTATAATATCAACTATTTTTATAAAATAAAATTACCTTAATTAGAGGTTGGGAATGAAAACACCCTAAAACAAAAACAAAACAAAAATAAAAAATATTGGGCAGGTAGGTTAAAAGCGTATATACTTTTAGGGAGGTGAATGGTACTCAAAAAAACGTACAGCATAATGCGGGGGGAGGGAAGGGGGAAGAGGAGGTTTGAAATAAAAGCGTACGTACTTAATTGACAACCCTTACAAAAAACTCGTTTAAACTCGTTTCCAAATGTAATTAGACTAAATATGATAAACAATTAGAAACTAATCAAAGTTGCGAATTTAACATTGAAACCACACGGGCAAATAAGGTTCTAATCATGAAAATTTGTTTTAATGATTTTATATATTAATAATTATTAATCTATAAAATTATTAAATCAATCAATTCACTTTATAAGTCAATTCACTTTATAAGTTTTCACTTTAAAAGCTTTCACTTTATACGTTTTCACTTTATAATTCACTTTATAAGTACAATTAGAATTCACAAGTACAAATTACAATACAACTACAAATTACATATAAGTACAAATTACAATATAAGTACAAATTATAGTACAAAGTACAAATAAGTTCAACATAAGTACAAATTACAATATAAGTTCAAATTACATATAACACATATAAGTACAAATTACAATTCATAATAAATACAAGTACACTCTTAATTAAAAGGTGTAAAATTACACTGTTTTAGTGTTAATATAGCCTCAAACGGTGTTTTTTGAAACTTATTTAAGCAAAAAGTATAAATTTACACGTTTTTTGTGTAACTATACACTCTGAAGAAGAATTTTTAATAAAAGGGTGTAAAATAACGTCTTTTTTTAATTACTGCACTGTTTTAAAAAGGTGTAAAAATCAATTATTGTGATGTTTTTTTTAAACCTTTTAATAAAACGGTGTAAAGTTGTTTTACACCGTTTTACACCGTTTAATTAAAAGGTTTAAAAGAAGAAAAACTTTACAGCACTCGGTTTTTACACCTTTTTGAAACTGTCTAATAAGTAAAAAAAGGTTTTATTTCACACCGCTTTTTAAAAATTAACCCTCAGAGTGTATACAATAATAATTGAAGCTGTGTTCTTGAGAGTTTCAAGAAAGAATCTAACAACTGTAGATGTTAGATTTTAACAATTGTTTTTCACTAAACTTTTTAAGTTTATTTTTAAAATCAATTACTGAATTAGCGTTAACAACTTCACTGTCCAAACGATTCCAATTTTCAACTATACGGTTCGTGAATGATGCCTCGGCAAAAAGTTTTGAACATACTGCCTTCGCAACCTTTGATTGTGTCCTCTAGTTAGCCTACCCAATACTTCTGGTTCATGATGCCAATTGATAGTATCAATTTTGTTCATGAATTTGTACATTTGGATAAGATCACCTTTTTCCCTTCTATTTGATAGATTTTGTAAGTCCATTTTCTCTAATCTTTGCTCGTAACTGTCTTTCTTTTTTTTGTAGCCAAATTTTGTAGCTTTTTGCTGAATTTTTTCTATTAAGTTTATATCTTTAATAAAATATGGGTTCCACACTTGAAAAGCATATTCTAAGTGTGGCCGAACGAGTGACATATATAACAATTTTGTTGATGTTTCATCTGGATAGAGGATTGCGTGCTTTAACATACCCAATTTTTGATTCGCCTTACTTACCATTTTTTTAATGTGGTCTTCCCATTTTAAATTGTCTGAAATATAAACACCAAGGTCTCTTTCCAATGACGTTACTATTAGTCCATGTTGAACAATCTCTGTTTCTGTAGCATTATATTTTAAATCATACTTTATTTTCGGATTATCACGACCAAAATGCATGATTTTACATTTATCTTTATTAAAACTGATAAGCTCTTAATCAAAAGGTGTAAAATTACACCGTTTTGTTGTTTACTTCATACGGTGTTTTTTTGAAAGTTATTTCAGCAAAAATTTAAATTTACACCGTTTCGGTGTGTTAAACGGTGTAAAACGGTGTGAAGCTATTTTACACCTTTTTACAAAATTAGAATTTCAGTTTTTATTTTAATTTCAGTTTTTATTTTAATTTCAGCCGTTTTATAAAACGATGTTATTCATATCGGTTACACAGTTTTACACCCTGTAACCGAAACAGCTAACACCTTTTTAAGAAAAACACCGTTTTTTAAAACGGTATAAAACTAAAAATATAATTTTGTAAAAAGGTATAAAACAGCTTTACACTGTTGTGAATCACAACACCGTTTTGTAAGCTGCAACAGTGGCACTATTTAAAACAGCGTTTTATAGGTAGAACAGCGTTTTATAGTTTAAAACAGTTTTTGCTCTGTCAGTGCAAAAGTTGTTTTAAACCTTACTACCTATGAAACGCAATTTACACGTAGTTAAAAAGTGTTTATTAACATTGTACTATATTTTTTATTATTATACTATATTGTTTATAAACATTGTACTATATTGTATAAGATTAAACAGTTTTAATTTTTGGAATATTAGATGTAAATAATAATTACTTACATCTAATATTCTTAAAAATATAATTGTTAAACCTGATACAACACCATCTTAATATATATTATGATGTAATATATTCTGCAGTTTACAGAGAATTATTCCCTATATATAGTGTGAGTATTATAATTAATAAATATTTTTTGTTATCTATTGTTATATTATCTATTATTATATTGTTAAATTATCTATAAGTTGAACACAAATGCAACTACTGTGTGTACAAGAGAGTGAGTAAAAATTGATAAAGATAAGATGCTGCATGAGCTGAATATTAATACACAATGTTGTTCTTTAAATGGTTAGTTTTTTTTTATCTTTGTCAATGGTTAAAATAAAGGAATGTTTTCATTGAGTTTATATTTCATTATCTATATTCTTAATATCATAATTTTAAAATGATAATTCAAATAGTATACCAACTTTTATTTTTAAAAGATATATTTGCCAATATGTTTTATCGAATTTTTAACATATACTAAAAACTGATAAAAAATACAAATATTTTGTTAAATAATATATTATTCTATTGATTACAATTTTCTAGATTAATAAATTAATAACAATAATAACATTGAAGTAAATAACAATTAATTCTGAAAATTAAATTACTAGTATACTAAAAAAATACTAGAAAATCAAATTAATAGTAACAAATATTTGAATGAAATAATAAATATGTGTAAAGCATTTAAAAGTATTTTTAATAATATTATTATTAATTTTATATATATATATATATATATATATATATATATATATATATATATATATATATATATATATATATATATATATATATATATATATTTATATATATATATATATATATATATATATATATATATATTATCCGCCCTAACCACCACCAAAATGAAAATAATAAAAAAAAATAAAGCTATTATTTCTAGTATTCACAATATATTTTAAAAAGTCTATATTTAAGACAGTTCACGAATCAAACAATTAAATACAACAAAGAAAAAAAAAAACATTTCTGGATTGGCAATCAAGTTTTTATGGCGTTATACCAAGACTTTATAAGCCTTTCTAGCAGCAAAGTTGGAAATTACAACATTGTATTTAACTTTCTTTATATTTAACTTTCTTTGCAAGATTAATTCATTAATCTTGCAAAGAAATTTGCAAAGATTGTTTTAATTGAAAGAATAAGACAGTCGTTAAAATGATAATTTCCTATAGTTGCTCTAAGAGAGTATTTGACAAGAGCAAACTTGCTAAAAGATCTCTTGCCTTGTCAGTAATAGCAAAGTAAAAAGGTACTAGACAGATACATATCTGGGGGAAATTTCCTTCAAATCCCTTTGCATAAATGCTATGTGTCAGTAGATTGCGTCAAACAGACGAAAAGTGTCGGTACTCATCAATAAACTTGTCTTCATTAAGATCATTTAAATACAGAAGTAGGAGATTTTTAACTTTACTTGGCTAAACAATTCTCGACTTTTTATTAAGTCCATATTGATACCAGACGTATACCAGATAAAGAAAATTTTTCTACATTGCTGTTTCAAAGTTTGAAATATCTCTGTAATCTGATGGATTAAGGTAACAAAATAAATAATTTTCATTTCTTTTATTGAATGTTTTCGATATTTTATTTGGTATATGGACATTTTTTCTTTTTGTCAATTGATATGCCCCTTATACATCATGCAAGGGAAAACGGACCCGGATCCATATATATTTATATATATATATATATATATATATATATATATATATATATATATATATATATATATATATATATATATATATATATATATATATATATATATATATATATCAGGCCTTGTTACGAGATTTCACTGCGTAACGGAAAAGCGAAGCGTGAATAAATGTAACTTTACTCAATAAAGATATTTACATTGTTAAAAGTTAAATCAAGTCAGTTGCGTTTTTACCTCATTGTAATTAAATTTAAAATGACATTAAAAACTATTGTTAGTCTTTGAAACAAAATAGCTTTAAATTGAACAATGTTGTTATAAAAAAAAAAATTTTAATGTTGATTAAAAAAAAGTCTTCTTGTATTAAAGTCTTATACTTATTTAAACTTAATTTTTTTGCTTTTAAACATTTGTTTTATGGTTGTTTTTTTTAAATATTTTATTTTTTTTATTATTTAAATTTAACACTTGTTTATGGTTAATTTTCCTAAAGGGATTTAAATGTACTTACTAAACGCATAGATTGGGTTTTCCCCTTTTAAAAAAAATGTGGTTTTGATAAAATAAATATTGTAAAGAAACAAAATTTACTGCTTTTTCGGCTTTGTTCTTTTTTTATTTCCATTAAAATATTTTATTTTTATGTACAGTGAAACCTAATATTTTTTTACTCAATCCAAAAAAAAAAATTGTGTTATCGGTTTTAAGATTTTGTTTTTAACAAATATCATTATAATTTTGAAATTTATGTATCTTATATTTATATCTCTAGTACTAGTTTTGTTTTTAAAATAAAATAAAATAAGAGTTTATTTACTGATCGCGTTATTTTTAATAGGTTTAGGCTTTGTTAATAAAGAATATTTGTTTCCTTTTTAAACAATCGTAAGTTGTTACTTTATATAAAAAACATCGCTTAATTTTATTTTTTTTGTAATTGTCTCTCATCGGTCCAATTAATCTTCGCCGCTTTTTTTTTTGCTTTTTAAAATGTTCTCAAAACGACTAAAAATCTGGCCAGCTTTTCGCAACTAAATTTTATTTACATGGTCAGCAATCGAGAGCGATCGCTCCCGCTTCCCGACCAAGCCTGTATATATATATATATATATATATATATATATATATATATATATATATATATATATATATATATATATTTTATATATATACTATAGCATATTTATGTAACAAATCATTAACATATTTTTATTACATTATTTAAATAAGAATTTTTAGAGAAAGAAGAAAAAAACTAAGAATAATGAAATATAAATATATAAATATGATTTTTAAAGTTGCATATTTTTTTCAATTTTTTATATTGCTCAGAAAATATATATTTTTTTAATCAATGTATATATATATATATCGAGCCTTCCCAGGAAAGGCGTGCGGTTTTTTTTTCCGTACGACCACGAAAACGTTTTTCAAGTTAGAGAACGTGATCACGGCTAATTGCGCAAATTATATTATATGGGTTACTGAAAAATTGTTTTAAATTTAATAACTACATAAGAAATTAAAGTAAACTTATATAGAAAACAATAATAATAGTTTAAACAATTTGTGTGTTGTTTTTATTTTTGTTTTTTCTCAGTGGTTATTATTATTGGCAACCAATTTCATTAAGTCAAAGCAAAAAAAAAAAAAAAAACGGTTTTAGGAGTTAAAAAGGATGACTTTCCCATATTTTATATGTTTTTTTGTTTAAAGAAGAAAGAGAAAATATGTATCGTCATCTGTTTGTAAAATATATTTGTATAATTATAATGTAACAAGTTTATATCAAGAGTTAAATTATACAATCGCGTTTGCAAACTCTGGTAAAATAATAGGTCTTTAAAATTTCAGTTCATGCAAAGCTGTGTACTTTGTTTACAAGGAGCAAATTATTAAATGTTTGCTAGCGAGAAAGTTACAAAAAACAAAACAAAAACATTAAACTTACGACTACAAAAGTAATAACACTTTAGTCACTAACTGCATTATAAAAGTAATTAAACTATAATAGTGTTATTACATTTATAAAGCACTTATTACTTTTAAAGTTCATTCTTTGTTCAAACAACATTATTAATTCCAAACATTTATTAAAGTAGAAAAGCATCTAGAAAAAATAAAGCGGATATTCAAATATTAAAAATTTCAGGAACTTTCACATATCGCTTAAACAACGTTACTTTATAAAAAGTATAGCATTATGAAAAACGTTACTTAAAAACGCGCGTTAATTTTAAAATCAACCAATAAAAAATTTTTATTGGTTAGTTTTAAAAATAATGCGCATTTTTACGGTCCATTAGTAACGTTTTTGATAATGCTAAACTTTTATTACAATACGTTTTCATAAAGTTGTTTGTCACGTTTTTATAAGTTTCTTTTGTTTTAATATTATTTGAACATCCACTTTATTCTTCTAGATGTTTTTCTACTTCAATTAAAGTTTGGGAATACTAATGTTGCTTGAACAAAGAATGTTATAAGTGCGTTATAAAAGTAATAACACTATTATAGTGTTATTACTTTTGTAATGCAGTTAGTGACTAGAGTGTTGTTACTTTTGTAATCGTAAGTTTATTGTTTTCTTTTTTCTTTTTTCGCTAACAAATTTAAGTTGATTCTCCCCCATAAAAACAAGGAACACAGTTTCGTATAAACTAAAATTTTGATTACTAGATTTTTTTCCAGATTTTGCATTTTGCATTCGCTTAATTCAAACCTTGTTCTTACATGTAATTCGCTTAATTCAAACCTTGTTCTTACATGTTTTGCATTCGCTTAATTCAAACCTTGTTCTTACATGTTTTTATGTAAACAATTACTATAATTAGTTTTATGGTTTTATTTAAAGACTTCTCATAAAATAAAAACTTTAGAAAAGATCAACTATTATAGGATATTTATAATGTAACACTTTTTTTATTGCATTCAAATTTTAAAACATCAAGATAGTCGTGGTCAAGTTGTAAAGAAATAAAATATTAGTGTGGTCAGTTACAGAGTGCGATCACACGCTATTCCTGTCCAAGCCTTATATATATATATATATATATATATATATATATATATATATATATATATATATATATATATATATATATATATATATATATATATATACATATATACATATATACATATATACATATATACATATATACATATATATATATATATATATATATATATATATATATATATATATATATATATACATACATATATATATATATATATATATATATATATATATATATATATATATATATATATATATATATATATATATATATATATATACATATATATATATAATGAGTGACCGGGGCCCTAGCTAAAAATGAGACTTTTTGCAAACCTGGCCCTGGCAAAACTATAAGATTTAGCAGGGGTTGATAGCCGGGGCTAGAAAAATTTATAATACTTAATATATTATAATTTTATGCTTATATTTACTATTTATTTAATACTGGAATACGCTTATATATTTTTAAACTCTAATTTACTTCCAACAAGATTGCAAGCAACCACTATTAAGTAATGAGTTACTTTAAAATAGAGAATCAGTTAAAATACTAGAAAACGTATAACTAAAGATTATAAA